CAGACACAGTCTCTATGGGGTACTGGGAGTTTTGGGTGGGTAGCAGCTACAAAGAGACAGCAGAGAGACGTGTAAGGCTGCGACTCCGCATCCTGGTCTCAACTCTGGGTTGTCATAATTTAGGTTGTAAAATAAACTCATCCATATTTCTAAATATGAGAGCTGCCCCATCCAAAGTGGGAGGATGCTGTCTCTGCTAATCAGACCAGGTTTTCCCCAAAATGTTTCCCAGTTGTCTATGAAGCCCACATCATTTTCTGGTCACCACCCAAATAGCCAGCACTTGAATGGTCAGATTGGGAGGGGATTCAGAGAATCTTGTAATATTATGGCTTCTCATAAAATTACAACTTTAACTTCATGAATTTGTTTTTTTTTTCAAAATCACTGATTTTAATTATTTCAGTGTGCATGCTCCGTTGTAGTCAACCCCACAGATAAACTGTATCTGGTTATATGTGATACCATGTTGTTAGCTGTCCAGTGCCATCTCTATACTATTTTTTGTTGTGGTGATAAGGTGTGTTGACAGCATTTTCCTGTTCTTCTGGACGGCAATAAATGTTTTTCTATGTATTCATTTCAGTGACTTATGAATGAAAGTAAATCTAGAATCATAACCTAGCGAAGGCAGGTTTTGTCTGTTACCATTTCAGTTCAAAGAGTAAGTGGGTGTGTGAGCACCGGACTTATGTGTACAAAGGTCAGGGTCACACCCACAAATGTGATATGTGTGCTTCATGCTTCTGACTTCACAGCAATATGTTTGCTCTTTTGTTTTGCAATTTTATCAGTAGCGTATAAGCATGATGTATTTCAGATGTATTAGTCAAATGTAAATAAAAATCTCACCAAACCAGCTACTTCCATACTTGGGATTGGAGGACTTGCCATGACTTGACTTGGTCTGCACCCACACCCAGTCTTACCACATAACCTGTCTACTATACTCAGACTCTTCTATGACAAATGACATATATGGCATATGACAAATAAACACTTCTAAACATCCACTACCGATCAAAAGTTTGATGTTGCCTCTATTTTTCCAGTTGTTTTTAGTGTAATTCAACAGCCAAACACACTTGTGATATTGTTTCTACAAATATTGTTGGGACAGACAGCACTGTTGCAGGCATTCCTAAAGATGTGTTGCTTTGCTTTCACTCTTCATCACCGTCTTGTTCTTTTCTTCTACAAACCCTGGGGGTGTTTGTTGGCTCTTTATCCTGCTATGGGACGAAACCTCTGTTTATGACCTTTTTCCAAAAATATGCTTCAGAGGGTGCAACACAGTCTTTTTCAATACTGCCTTTGTACAGACAAAATGAGCTCCTGTAAGTAATTTTTGAGATTTAATCTACCTCTGCTACTACAGAAAAGAAGGAAGTTAATCTATTACCTGATCCATGAACGAGGCCTTGCCTTATATGAAATGCACACACATTTTTAGTTTTTGATAACTTTTTTGTTTGGTTGTTTACTTCTTAGCTGTGTACTGTTTAAGGTTACTCACTGGACTTTCCAGTAGAAAATGGAGGTGACGCCAAACGTATAGGGATGCAAGCCATGCCAGAAGCAGCAACTGATGGGTAGTGAATGACATGACGCTCCGTGATACAGCCATGTTGTTGTGATGATTACACACCCAATAAACCTTTACTGCTTGTTATTTTTAGTTATTTTAATCTATTGGGCTACTTTTCTTTCTGAGCCATTTCTATTCTGGAACTTTCTAATTCAGTCAGTCAAAAACATGACTTGCTTCAGTCAGTCTGGCCTACGCTGATTCTGTACTGACAGGGTGAAGCATTTCACACTCACAAGTCTCATCAGACACAACAGAATCTGTACATCTCCCTTCCATAATCCTAAATCCAATCTTCTCTCATTGGACTTTGTCTGCACCCAGCTGAGAAAATATATAGGCCTACCACTGTGTTCACACATCCACCACTGATCAGCAACCAGTGTTCTACCGCTAGTATGGTTCACCCACATACCTGGGGCCAGACGCAGCCCACTACGTGGATTCACGTGTGTAGGCGCCAAGGTACAATTACGCACAGCCATTTTTAACGTCAGATTCCTAAAGCCGCACGTGCGTCTGCTTTAAGCGCGACTGTTACGCACGGTTGTAATATTTACCATCACTTTACCAGAAGCATCTGTAAACCAAGCATAATTTCAACTTTCTTTATCCCTGCTTGGGAATAAAATGTTATAGCTGGTTATCCACCTCAAAGGTTAGCCACACATACACACACACACACACACACACAGAGAGAGAGAGAGAAGGGGAGAGCATAGGGCAGAAAGAAAGACTGTTGATTACCACGCAAAAAATAAATAAATAAATAAAACATTCAAAGACAGAATTCGCTTCAGTTCTATATGCGGAATTGGTTATGAATATAATAATAAATGACTGTAAATCCAACATATCACTAACAATAGTCTACAAAGTATACACAAGTTAATGAAAGACATGACGGGGAAAAGCGTGTCAGGAATTTCAAGGTGTCCAACAGATAAAGGACTCAGTTCTACAAACAGGTAGAGCAGAGCGACATCTTGAAGGCGGCGATCAGAATTCAGCTGTGACGAACTCAAGAAAATGTTGAGGATCTTTCGGTTTGATTAGACAGTTAAACTACTTATTATTAAGCTTATAAATGCGCTTTTGTTCAAAACTTTACAGATTGCTTCGTACATTTCAAAAACCAAACATAATCGCCTCTAAACAGTGTTTTGCTTACTACAAAATTACGTCTTTCCACATATTTTTATTCTCTTCATAATTATTTCACCCATAGGCTAGATATCGCTAGAAAACTGTGGTCTGAAGTGTCCGGAGGCAGCTTCTTTCTTTCTTTTATAAATACCAGTTTATGTGCGGGAGATGGCGTGTGCATGGTTTTTGTGCATACGCGTCATTTATTCATCTGGACGTCCACAGACTTGTCATAGTGCGCACATACCTGATCTTTATCTTTCCTCCTTCCAGCTTTTCCACCTCCACCGTCCCTCGCTCGCTCCCACTCCCTCATATTGCGCCGTGTCGGTATGGTGTGGTCCTGGAGCTCAGGGGTCACCTGTAGGCTACATCCCGAAGCTCCGCCCACAGCCGCCACCACGCTCAGCCTACACACTGCATGTCACAGCCCACAATACTAATTACACAAATTCTCCTTCCTTTACCAGTTCTCTGCTACTCGTCTAACTTATGTTTTTGTTCCTGGCTCTGGATTTTCTTTTCACTTCACCTCAGGCTCTCTTCTCTTGCTCTGGACTGTTTCTGCGCACATTAACCGTCTCGTTCTTATATGGTTTGTTTGCTCTCTTGATGTCTTTGTACCATTGATTCTTCCTTATGTAAGATTTGAGTCTTATAGACCCTAGTTACTTTATCAGCTTTAGTTACTTCTCATACCTGTAGTTCCTTTTAGTTACATTTCATAACTTTATCTTACTTGTTTATGCATATTACAGCTGTATTGATGATTGTCCAGAACTACTGAGCTTTGGTTATTTTAATGCATTTGTTTCCCTTGCTTATATATCCTACAGCTGTAATGAAGCAGAATCTGCTTACTTTGAATGCTGTAACTTCTGTGTAGAGACTAGAAAACCTATAAAACTCATACCGTTGTCTCACATCTAACAACTCGCATACCTTCTCCAGCTGCCTTTGATGTCTGCATCAACCCACTTAGCATTATCCAAGTTCTGCTTTATCTTGGGATGTCCTGCAGAGACCGGGGGCCCACAACCTGAGATGACCACCTGGCCAGTTTAACATACAAATTAGCATCACACACACACACACACACACACACCTGGTGTAGATCACATTCCAGCAAGGAGGTGTGAGCTCCTGCTCACCAAATGACCAATAGGATTACAATGCATGAATTGTTGTACCTTTGTTTAGTGCAGAGCAGCCCAAGAAGATAAAATGCATTGTAAAACATGATTCGAGATTCAGAAGTTGGTTTTCCTGTGGGAGCTCTGGCTCTCTGAATCCAGCGCTGTAAGACTTGCTTGTAATCAGACTTTCAGTAAACTTTCTGTTGTTTTTAAACAGTCCTCTCCTGTTGTCACTTCTCGTGCTTCCAACAAAAGAATTGGGTTAATTTCTAACAAAAAGAGAATCATCGTTTGTTCATTAAAATCTAATACTTAGATGGTTGGTTTCTGGTTTTGCTATTTCTCTCACCACTCTGGGTCATTGTTGAAACATTTATTTTTCACTAGCCTTTTCTTGTATTACTGTTTACACTGTTTTAAGTATCTTTTGCGAGTCGTCAGTGTGACGATTCGCTGTGGCTACCCCTAAAAAAGGGAAAAGCCGAAAGGGACTTTTTTTTTTATCTAGCCACGATCACAGGTAAAATTAACATCACATGTCCAGATCTCTCTCACCACCAACCCGCGCGCAGGCAGCTTGGAAAGATGAAAGACCCTGGACCAAGAAACCTAGATAATTTTAATCATTCTGGGCTAACCCCATACTACGCAGGCACGTCAAACCGTGACGTCACCTGATATGCCAGCTTGCAGCTGACCATAACGATAGTCAAAACATGAGGAAAAGTCAAGGTGTGTGGCTGTTGATTTGTGGTGTGTATCTAGAACAATTTGACATGACATTTCACATTAAGACAAATATTAAGATTAGCATTACAGTTAATACTAACAACTCTCCTTGCCTGCAGCCTTGGCCTAGATGCAGTCTGCAAGCACATGAAATTAAACTGAGCATTTAACAGCCTGAGCTAGACATTCCGTCTCCACTAAACATTTCTAAACATCAAATCTCTGAATATCTATCTAACTAAGAAATAACCTAACACCAGTGACTTCCGTGCCGGTCCCAAGCCCGGATAAATAGAGAGGATTGCGTCAGGAAGGGCAGCCGGTGTAAAAACATGCCAAATTTAAACATTCGAATCATCAGTGTGAATTCCATACCGGATCGGTCGAGGCCCAGGTTAACAACGACCGCCACCAGTGCTGTTGACCTACAGGGTGCTGGCGGAAATTGGACTACTGTTGGTCAAAGAAGGAGAGGAGATTGAAGTCGTAGACAGAGAGAGAAAAGGAAAGGCAGGAGTATAGGTCTGAGAATAGGGACTCTTAATGTTGGCACAATGACAGAGAAAGGTAGAGAGCTGGCAGACATGATGGAGAGAAGGAAGGTAGATATACTGTGTGTGCAGGAGACCGGCTGGACTATGTATTCTTCCGGGAGTATCTCGCCATAAGAAGAATACTTTGAGACAGAACTCAGAAAGATGACTCAGAGTTTGTTCATATTTTGTCGCAGCACTTGTGATTGAAGTCGTAGACAGAGAGAGAAAAGGAAAGGCAGGAGTATAGGTCTGAGAATAGGGACTCTTAATGTTGGCACAATGACAGAGAAAGGTAGAGAGCTGGCAGACATGATGGAGAGAAGGAAGGTAGATATACTGTGTGTGCAGGAGACCGGCTGGACTATGTATTCTTCCGGGAGTATCTCGCCATAAGAAGAATACTTTGAGACAGAACTCAGAAAGATGACTCAGAGTTTGTTCATATTTTGTCGCAGCACTTGTGAAAAGCTGCCCATGGCAGAGATGGTTCAAATGTCATATAATTACAATATGTGCAGAGTTTCCTGCACTGTTTTGTGTACATGCAGATTGGATTGCTATCATTGGTGCACTCACTATATTAGCCTGCCATGACTATGTTTGCCCAGTAGTGTTGACCTTTAAACCCTCTTACCAGAGAAAACACAATAAGAAGGTAGAAAAGGGCCTGCATTAGACTTAGGCCAAACCGCAGGACATTTTATTTTGCTCACAGAACAGTATTTGCTGAGTCACTGACAGCACAAAGAAATAGATTTAAACGACGAGGATGGGATTCGAACCCACGCGTGCAGAGCACAATGGATTAGCAGTCCATCGCCTTGACCACTCGGCCACCTCATCCCATATCATTGGTGCACTCACTATATTAGCCTGCCATGACTATGTTTGCCCAGTAGTGTTGACCTTTAAACCCTCTTACCAGAGAAAACACAATAAGAAGGTAGAAAAGGGCCTGCATTAGACTTAGGCCAAACCGCAGGACCTTCCATTTATTTTTCTCACAGGACAGTATTTGCTGAGTCACTGTGACTCAGGGTGCTTTTGGACACGTGAAGATTGCTTTTCTGTGAATAACTCCCCCTCGCAGAGATGGTACAGATGTCATGTAACTACAACATGTAAAAAGTGTTCCATTCTGTTTTGTGTACATGTAGGTTTGATTCCCTTCACTGTTGCACTCGCTATTTTAGTCACCCATGACTATGTTAGACCACTAGTGGTGACCTTTAGACCCTATTGCCTCAGTAAACCCATTAAGAAGGCAAAATACATTCCATCCATAGGACCTTTCTCTTTTTTTTCTCTTACATTTCAGTATTTACTGAGTCACTGAGCTTCCCCACACCACAGTGCAATAGAGGTTTAACGACAAGGATGGGATTCGAACCCACATGTGCAGACCACAATAGATTAGCAGTGCATCAGCTTGACCAGTGGGAAGCTTGGCAAGGGGAATTAGCTCAAATGGTAGAGCGCTCGCTTAGCATGTGAGAGGTAGCGGGATCGATACCCGCATTCTCCAGAGCAACTCGGTTGTTAGGATGCATCTCAACATATGAAGAGTGCTTTGAGACGGAAAGTTGGCTCAGAGTTTGTTCATCTTTTGTCGCAACACTTGTGAAAAGCTGCCCATGGCAGA